AGTGTGGGGGGCGGGGGCAGCAGGGCGGGGGGCCCTGCCAGAAGCCGGGGTGGGTCTGCAGAGTAGGCAGACCAGGCTGTTGCTGGTCACCCACACTGGGGCCTCGCGTGGCCTCGCCTCCGGGACAGGGGCCAGGCCTGCCACACTGTCCCTGAGCTTGCCATGAGAGCCCTGCTGTGGGCACAGTGCATGTGGGCCCCTCCCAGCGCAGCGTCCTCAGGTGTGCACTGACAGGGCTGTGGTGTGGGGACGGTCCTTCCGCGGCGTGGGTGTGCACTGGTGGCCACACTGCTGGGGTGATGGTGAGGCGCCAGGGCTTGGTCCTGCCCCTTAGAGACGGGCCCTGAGGGACCAGACAGGTTCCAGAGGGGCTCAGAGCCTGCCTGAGAAATTGTGGCACCCCGGAACTTATTAAGTGGCCCTGGTCCCAGAGAGGGTCAGGCTGAGCCTTGCTGGCGTGGCACCTGCCTGCTCTGCCACATGGAGGCAGCGTGTGGTTCCAGGATCACCCTCCCCCCAGCCCTGCCATCGCCTTGTGACTCGGACCCTTGCTTCAACGGAGGCTCCTGCGATGCCCATGACGACTCCTATACCTGCGAGTGTCCACGAGGCTTCCACGGCACGCACTGCGAGAAAGGTACCGCCATGCCACGATGGGCCAGCCGCTCGCCACAGCCCTCCCTCTGTCTGCCCTGTGTCTCCTGCCCTGGTGCCTGCCCGGGCACTGTGTCCTGCTAGCCCGCTGCAGCCACCCACTTGCCCGCTCTCGCTGCGGCGGGGCCAGCCAGCTGAGGGTTGCCACACGTGCCCCACGTGGCCCTCGGGTCGCGGTGTTGAGCTGTAGGGACTCGTTAAGGCCCTGTCAGACCTGACCCAGTGCGGAAGACTCCACCCTGGACACACGTGCCATGTAAGGAGGGGGTGCTGCAGCAGAGCTGTCTACAGCACTGAACTCCAGCGCCTACTCAGGACCCCGCAGTGCCGGCTGGGTGCCACTGGGGACCCCACAGCCACCCCACCTCTGGCACCCCTTAGCCAGTGCCCAGTGGGTGGCTGCCTGACCCTGGCGTGGCCTGGCCTGGAGAATGGCTCTTTACGTACCTGGCTCTAGAGCCCACATGGCCCCACCACAGCAGAGGAGAGGGGGTTCAGCAAGAATGACCTTACTGCTCGGTTCTCTGCCAGCCCCGGGACCGCCCCACAGTCCCGGACCACCCGCCCCTGGGCAGACTGTCGTGACACCTGTGCACAGGTGGGGGCGTCTGCTCCCGGAGCACGGGGCGACACACCTACAGGACATGGGACAAGGAGCGCAGTGGCAGCCACCCAGCCACAGCAGGCACAGATCCTGACCCCGGACGAGCACTGGGCACAGGTGGGGGCGTCTGCTCCCGGAGCACGGGGCGACACACCTACAGGACATGGGACAAGGAGCGCAGTGGCAGCCACCCAGCCTCAGCAGGCACAGATCCTGACCCCGGACGAGCCCTGCTGGCCTGCATGGGCCCGCTGGCTCCCACCGCCCCGGCCGGGCCCCGGCCCCC